AAAAAATGGATGAAAAGTATAAGTCAGAAGAATAAAATGATGTCAAGCACTGGAATTGACAAGTATCTTACCTGACTGAAAGAATTCCAAGTGCTCTGATTCCTTCGCCTTTTAAATGTGCATCTCCTTCAGCTATTAAGAATCTATCCTTTCCATGGGCTAAAAGAGCACAAAAAATCCCTGAGCTTGTCAAAATTATATGAAAACCCACAGCACCTGATATTTCAGAAAATAGCCCTATCTCTATACTAATCCCAGTAGTTACCTTTGAACTCTAGTTTTCTTGCAAAAGTTAGTGTTGTGGAGAAGCAAAAGACATAATGGTGTTCCCTTCTCTCTAGTGCTTAGTGCACAAGTGCCACGTATATCCCCAGGATTGGGAAGTGGAATTATTGATTGCATCCTAACATGTTGGGAGAAATACTTTGTGTAATGTTAGTTCGGTATTTTACTTCTTCCAAAAGAGCACAGAGCAGAAAAAAAACCACATTATGACTCCCAGAGGTTATCCATAAACTGTGTTTAAGTTGTATTCACATGGACAAATAATATCTGTCGTGGTTAAACGAAGACATTCTTACACTGTATGGATTCTTAAAGTATTTGCTCTGCTTCTCATTTACATCTGCATAATACCTAGGAGTAAAAGTTCTGAAACTAATGAAGTTATAGAGTGTGATATTGGTGCAAATGAAATCAGAAGCCAAACTCCTGACCTTGTAGAAGTAGCAATATCAAAGATGACTTAGAAAGGCAATAAGGAGCTGCAGAGCAGATGGAAAAGGAAATGATTCCGCAGCCTAAGTCTTAGGTATTGATGGCAAATCAATGCCTTACAATGTGAATTGCTATAACCCCCCAGCATCAACTGAGTCTCTCAGAAAAGTATGTTTTATTCGTAATCTTTCAAGACCTGTTCTCAGCGCTACATCTAAATCAGACTCATTTTTCTAGCCATTTTTCATGCAAAATAAAAACAGATGGGAAAAAGAAAATATATTTGCTGCTCTTTGTGAGTGTTGCAGAATCTGTTAGCTCCTTTTCAGTTTTACCACTTCAAATGTTTCCATCATATTCCAAATCTAGCCTCAAGACACACGCAAAGGTTGCAAAACTGAGAGACTCAGTACAACTCACTTTAACAAAGTCCTGGAACAGAAAAAAACCCCTTCCTCTGGCCATGCTGCCCACAATACCCGAAGGGAGATTGAGCAGAACACCAGGGAAAACAGTGCCACTGGGACACAGGCTGGTGATGTTCCCTGCAATCACACATTTTGGAGAGCTCCATGGTGAAATGGCAGCAGGAAGAGAATTAGACATCAAGCACAACTGAATTCAGTAATTTTCTGGTTTGCTTGCTTTAGAAATGTTTCCTAATGCACAAGAGCAAACCCTTATTAATGAATTCTATGCACCACAGAATAGAGAATAAAGCAACTGAAATATGGTAATATCTCAAAAAAATAAAGCAAAACAGTCATATTAAAAAGAAACAAAAGAACTGTGTATTGTCAGAGCCACAAGTCTAAGTACTCCAAAAAACTCCAAGCATTAAGGCTTTCTCAACTGTAGCTTCAAAGTGTCATTGGAGACTTTTTAGTGAAACATCATGGCATACTGGAAAAAGACAATCAGGCTTTTGTGGCAAATTCATACTTGGCCTGTTTCACTTCTTTTCCCTGTGTCCTAATTGAGCTTAACCGTTTACTGCACTCATTCATCAGGATTAACACCAAGCAAAAGTCAAGGTGCCCTGGGTTTATAGACTTTGAAGGCAGTTTCTGTTCACAGTTATTGATATCATCAAGAAATGAAACTTAACACTGGAAAAACCAAGGGGATGGGCAAGAACAGCAGCCATAAACTGTAAGGTATGGCCTTGCACGGTGTGTACCTGTCTCTGAAAGAGGAAAGGAAATTGGGAATAATCTCCCTCCTTTTCAGCTTCCTCCTCTTCTTCTCCTCCATTTCTGCCAACACACACTCATCCTTTGCCCATAAAATGAGTACAGAATAGTGCTTTTTGATTTCTCTCATAACTTCTGTGGCTGACTTCAAAATCAACTATAACTGCTCTGTGTTTCAAACAATGTTATGCCACATACTTGCAACACCTCACTTATCTTCTCCTTAGGTAATATGTCAATGAGTGCTTTGTACTACATAAATACTCAAAAGAATAACAACTTGACTTTTCTTAAACATCCCTTTTTGGTGGAAAAATTAGCACTTTTTTGTTCCAGGAAAAAACACTTTACATATTCATAAGGAAACCCCATAGCATGTCTCCCCCAAAACATACATATATCTGTATATTACCATTCACTTCAGTGAAACTCAGATTGATACAGCCTTATCTGTGAGAAAAATGGTACTTAGGTAACTTTTGTTATTTATGAAAAATAGCTGCAAACCTGAATGATTAAGAATGTAGCGTGCTTCACTGTCTGTCATTCCAGTTACCTGTTACTTCACGAACTAAATCAAACACTAATGACCATCTAAAATCATCTTTTGCTTCCTGTCTAGTTTAACTATTTGCTTCAGAAATTTCTGCTTTCAGGAAGATGATGACTTAATATTTAATCATGGATTTCCAGACAGAATCAGCAACAAGAAAATCTTACGTGGATTTCATTGTTTTTAAAGATGAGTGTTTTGTTTTAAACAAAAGAGTAACCTTGCAGGAAAAGATGTGATTTTCTGGGGGCGATTTGGCATTTTTCATTTCACAATGTAAAAAAAAAATATTAAAATCTTTAAAATAAGAATTGAATTGCCTGAAATTGTGACAAAAATTTTTTAGTTGAGAACTTTCTTTGGATCACAGTGTAAATAGTTATTTTGGGATTTCTGTTTCCTTGAAGAAAACCTGAAATACTATATTTGGGTTAACCCAAAACTTAATTCAGTTTGTGTTAATTTTTGAGTGCAGCAGTTGAAATTGAAAAGCTATTATTTGTACAGTCTGTGAAGGTTTATTACCTTTAGGAGACCTTTAAGTAGACTCTTGAAGCACTGCGTGACTTGCCCTTTAGCATAACACAGAAAATTGGCCAATAAGAATTTGAATGTTAGAAAAAAGACAAACAACTTTCTTCTGAAAATGTTGTTAGCACAATTTACTATGCCAAACTGGCAACCTGCATGTGATTTCTAGCAGCTCTGGGGCACGAGTGACACGGTGTTCAACCAGATTCAACTACATTTATTGCTGGAAAGCTCTACTGTTTCAGTTCTCAAGCACTGAACAGATGAAATGTTCAGTATAAATATGGATTTGCCTGATTACACTTGGAAAACTTGGAGACAGAAATCCTTCCATTTAGTACCTATGATATTCCAATGATAAATAATTCTAAGAATAATTTCACATGCACAGCTGGTACTGCAAGACTTGCTAATTAAATATTGAGGCAAGTAATTAGACTCTCAAGTGTTCTGAAATTACAGAAATCCTGAACGGTATTGAAGTAGTGCTTATCATTCCTGACAGGTATAAAAGCACAGCAACAACCAAAGTGCACCTGTAAATCAATGGACAGAGAGCTTAAGTATTGTGGTAAAACTATGGAGTTAAGTCTTCCACCTGCACAATGTGTGCAAGGCACAGTTGTAAATCCCCAGCAGAAGAATAGTGGAAGTTATGTCCAAAGGAGTAGAAAAGTAGGAAAGACATGCCATTTCATCATAGACTGTGATTTGACAACATATTTTTAGTGCTTTAGAAGAACCAAATATTAATAATGTTGTTGTATGTGTGCACAGACACACCTTTTGTATCTTTAGGTGATGATTGGTATATGTATCAGTATTAACAAGTATTCTCATAAGCAAAATCTTGTACACTATAGTCCCAGCCAGCAGGAAAACTTGTAAACTGGTGCTAGATATTAAACGAAAAAATGCTTTATGTTTCCCACAGGAAGATCTAATATAAGTTAAGGATGGCACCATGACATTTATATGTAAAATGATTTAATTATGTTAGCTGAAAATTTATAGAAATGTCAACCTAAGACATGTAGGTATGGGAAATTTCAGGTCTTTTTTTTTTTTTCCTGGCAAAACTACCATAGGAAACAGTACCATGTACAGAGAAATGAATGGAGCTGTTGATAGCAATCCTTATTATTCCTCAGTATTCACAGTACAAATGAACAAGAGATCTTCCAGCACAGACCTATCATGTCTGATTTCATTTTACCTATAAAAGGAAACTCTGTTGTGTAAACGTTATGACATATTGTGTTGAAAATGGCAGGTGGGCTAGTATTTGGCATAGCTGAAGAGGGAAAGACATGAGTGAAAATTTTACATGACTCGCAACTTTTCTTCCTGTGTTTCAGTCACAAAACAGAGCTCCTCTTCATTTGTGCTTAATGGAAACTATGATAGCTAACGGATGTTACGATGCCTGCAGAAAACAACAAATAATGATTACCAGCCAAGGAAATTGTTAGCCTCTGAAATTAAACAGGATACTGCAGTTGCTCATTTCCTACAACCTAGTGTTTACTCAAAACACATCTAATAACTGGGGACAAGGAATATACTTGCAGACCACCATAGAAAAAGACACCAGGCTCAATAAAGGCCGAAATGAGGTGTCCAAATAAAACACCCTGTAATGTCATGCCATGATACTGTGTATAGAAAAAAAGTAGTATTTTAAATAGCCAAATATAAGTAAGCAAATATATTACTTGGAAGAATCAATACAAATAAAGTTAGAGAAGATTTTCACGTTATTTTCCTTAGGAAAAGGAGGATCTCCAGCTGAGAAAAAAAAAAAAAAAAGAAAGAAAAGAAAAAGAAAATAAACAGAAAAATAGGAAAGTCAGATTAAAAGGAAAATTATATAAAAGCATATTTTTGCTTTGACTAACTTTAATAATCAAATGCAAGAATATTATTATTAGCAGCTGTTGAAATGCTAGTCAAATAAAAAAGGTTAATGTATCTTATAAATTAGCATTATTACTTCCTTCTTTCAGGTGGTAAAAATGATGATTGTGGTTGTGCTGACATTTGCCATCTGCTGGCTGCCTTACCACATTTACTTCATAGTTACTGGGATCTACCAACAATTAAATCGGTGGAAATACATTCAACAAATCTATTTGGCCAGCTTTTGGCTTGCCATGAGCTCTACAATGTACAATCCCATTATCTACTGCTGTCTTAATAAGAGGTAAGAGCTGGTTATGAAACAGTTGGTATGCATAACTTCAATGAGAATATAAATTGTTGAAACAGGATAAAAGACAAAGAATTTTCACTTGAATAGTTTACAGTTAGTAGAATGAAAACTTCCTTTAAGTTTGCACTTAAAATTAATCCCAAAAAAACAATTGTACACTTTCAGTAAATACTTTGCTCTACTTAAAATTTCAGAGGAAAATTCAGTATTCAGAAACCAACCCTTCTCATTTCCATATGCAAAATTTTAGATCTGTAGCAGTTTAATATTTTTTGGCTTGCAAACCATTAAAATAAAGAAGACAGTCATTAGTGACATACAGTGCAATCTGTATGTTCACTAATTAATTGTAGCCACAAATTTGTTTTGCAGTGCTGGAAGGATATGATATAAAGTGTGATTTACTGTGTATTTTATACCTCACCATTAGATTTTTACTGAGCTCTAAGGTCTGCAACAGGCTAATAAAACAAATATTTATATTCTCATTACTGAATACTAAACTACAATTCTGTTACTGATAGTAACGCATTATGCTCTGAATTTCAAAGGCACTGCACTTGTTGAGTTTGATGAGTTTTTACAGGTATTTGGAAGTTTAAGACTATTGGATTGCAGAATGAACTCATATCATGTTTTTCATTTCAGCATGTAGGGCCAGGCTCTAAAACATCATCCTGGCCATCTTATTTTTCAGTATTTCTTCTAGTATTACTGGATAAAGACCACCAAGAACAATGAATTAGTTCACCAACTCAGTCAGTGTGTATCATCAGAATTGAATAAGTAATCTTAAATATTATTTGAAATCTCTTTTGAATGAACAGTGTCAAGTTTAATTGCTGACAAGCTTTATACCAATTTTGTTAAATATTTATAAAACCCCAGTAAAGATCATGCAATACCTGTCAAAAGGAATGTGCCTCCTTGATGAGGATAGCTTGTGATGCTTAACATTCATAGTCTTTTAAAACGCTAAGGTGATGCCTGATTTCATACAGCCTTCTGCCCCTTTTGATCATTTACAACTGTGTAAAGAAGAGGCAAAGTTTTAGTATGCCAGAATGAAACACTAATTCAAATGGCAAATTTCAACAGAAACCAGATTTCACTGGGTATCCAGTGTCTGCAAAATCAAAGGTGATGAAGAACCAGGCCTCATATTTTCTCAATTACTACCATAAAACCTCTAAAACATTGCCACTTTCTTCAAAACCTTGGCCAAGTTACAAAAGATGCTATTCATAAAAAATTAACAATCTCTGATGTGACTTAAGTTGACATTTGTATACTGCAAAATTAAATGTCCACATTAAAGAATACAAATCAACAGAATCTCATAGTTTTGAGACTCGCTAAAGGTCACCTTGTTCAGAATTTAATGCAAGAATGAAATACTGGTGAAAGTTCTCTTATAATTAATTTCTATATTGAAATCAAGAAGCCAGAACGTCTGCTTCCTTTTCATGAAGTAGGAAAATACAGCCTGTGGCTGGGACTCAGATCAATTCATGCAGTGTTTTTACCTCTACTGGATCTAGTATCAGGCAGAGTTATAACACTATCCCCAGCCTCATCTTCCAGGCTAATTAAGATATTACTTACATATCTAGATAAAGAGAGCATTATTTCAAGATGAAAAAAAAAAAAAAAAAAACATGCCCTGAATGAGAAAGAGGATAGAAGGCGAGAAGAAAAATAATACAGTCTAAAGATGTTTAGGTTTTACAGCTTCCTTCACTAAATCTCTTTCCATCAGAAGTTCTTTCAATACTTTTTCATAATGTGGACTGTATCTAAACAGAGGAATGCTGAATACCAAGCTATCTGCCCATTTGTCATCATGCGACACCTCTGCTGCAAACTAAAAGAAAATGAGAAGGAAAGAAAGTTATTTCTGTGAGATCAGTCAACTTTCACTGAAAACAATCTAAATTTTTATCTGTAGTCATCACTGTGGTAGCTGAACCATTGCTCCAAAAACTTAGAGACCCAAGAAACACCACAGTTGATTGCTGAAACAAAAATGAGAGATCAAGACAAGTGAGAATTCTGGGAAGTTTTAGGTCTAGGTGAAAAGGTGTTCTTTTTCAGGTTACACGTAAATATACAGCAAATTGTTTTTCTAATATATTTAACTTATATTCTGGAAATGCATGCACACAAAAAGTAGTAATAGTCTTTAAAATAAATCTCTGCCTCTGAATTGAAATAAAACAACTCTGTGAATATTGCAAACGTTAATGTGCTAAAGCCTCAAAATTCCCATTTGTGTGTTGTTCACATTCGGTTTTCAACTTTCTAGGATCTTCTTTAATTATTACAAATGATTTTCCAAATATTTTATATGAACAACTATTAGTCATTACATCACTCCCATTTAAGCATCTCCATTAGAGAGGGAAACACAGAAGGTATACTGGAATCTGGGACGGTATTTTAGAGAAAAGAATGCTACAAAGTTTCTTGCTGAGAGAAGATGAAAATATAGGTGCACATTTCATCATAGGTCAAATCAAAACAATTTCTGTGCAGATAGTGCTACGAAAGCTAGTATTTGCTAGTATTTAGGCACGGGCAAAGGAAGGGAAATTGAGTATCAGAAAAATACCCATGTTAAAATAAAGGGAAAGTATATAGAAAATCAGAAACAGAAGTGAACTGTTACCACTATCTTTTTTACCCTATTCAGACTTTAGTCAAGCAAACTCCAACTGACTTCACCACAAACAGGATTAGGGGAAAGATAATTAGTTAAGTCAGTGTCCTATCAGCACGGTATATGTTTTCAGATGAAGGCCTGTGGCTGGCTCTCACAAGCACAGGCTTTCACCAAGCATCTTTCCTCCCAGGTTCCGAGCTGGCTTCAAGCGAGCTTTCCGCTGGTGCCCCTTCATTGAGGTGTCCAGCTACGATGAGCTAGAGCTCAAGGCAGCTAGGTTTCATCCCACCCGGCAAAGTAGCCTATATGCTGTGTCTAGAATGGAGTCCAGCATGACAGTGGTGTTTGACACTAATGATGGAGACAACACCCACGCCAGCCGTAAGAAAAGAGCAGCTCCAAGGGATGCCAGTTTCAATGGCTGTTCACAGAGGAATTCCAAGACTGTCTCCACAGCCTCAAGTCTCATCAGTTCACTGCACACATCAGTAGATGATTATTCCTATGCATTTCATGGTGACAGTTGCTAGAAGGGCAGCACCGGACAATGCTCTCCGACTTTGAGACTAGATATCCATACCACAGGAAAGCAAACAATTCCTCTGATGAACCCAAGCTATAAACACCGTGAGACTTTTAGGCATCGCTTACTTTTCTGCTCTGGAGAGAAAGAGGAACTTGAAGACCTATGTATGCATCAGTCTGAAAGCATAGTTGCACCTTATACACGGCAATGTTTGTAGGGATTATCTAAAATAAACCAACGGCAGAAAAAAAAATATTTTCAGCTGTATCTAACCTGTGGCATTGATGTTTCACTTACTGAAATGTAACAAGCTTCTTATTGGAGGTGAAATGTATGGTGTTTTCTGACTGTATTAATTCTACAATAACAACATTACATACAATCTGATAAAAAAAATTCTTTATAATGAAGACCTAATGAGCCCCCAGTCCATTCAATTGTTTTAAAATTTAGCCCTATTCCCATGCAAATAGACAAAATGAAGTTCACTTGAATGAAGTTCAGCTCTGTCTGCAACAGTACAATTTTTCAAATACGTATGAAAAATGTTTTTTTAAAAAGGAGAAAATCTCTAAATGACTATGTTAAATTCTACCAAAGTTTCTATATTACTGAACATTAGACTCCAGTGGAATGTGTACTTCCAGGAGGATGTATTGCTTAGATGAATGTCCTGTAGCTTTGTATCTTAGTGCTAAGGGTAAGATCTTCCTCCAGTGACCCTAACAGGACCTTTGTGATTGACTTTAGAAAGATCAAAAGATTTTAAACTGGAGATTCACATATAAGAAAAATGCCACTGTGGCAATGAACTCTTCTCTGCACAAGACACAGTAACATGTTTCACTATGAAACAACTTCACAAGGAAAAAAATATTTGGGTTATTTTCCTAAATTTTCATAGCTAGATACATGTAAAAAATACACTTCTGTCTGCATCTGAAAATATATTAGGCATTATTACACAGTTTCCCACTCAATTCAGTCAAAATTCACTGACTATCACTGTTGCAAAGAAAGCTGAACTTAATGCAAAAGGGACCAGAGGGCAGCCTTTGTTTTAGATAAATGGCTATATTAGTTGCATGGATGAACTGGTTGTATGAATGTTTGTTCTCAAACAGTTAATCAAAACTTAAGCAAAAGAGCATGAATGTCTTCCTCAGTTAGCCAGACCAGCACAGGGGAATGTATATGTGATTCAACCAAATACAGCACCAAAGCTGAGGAATTAAAGAGAAGTCTGAAGAGAGAAAGGCTTGAGCTGGATTTAGCCCACATTCCTTCCCAGGGATGCCCAGCATTGTGATGGTGAGCATATCATAAGAGACTAGTAATGAGAACCATGTTTGTATTGTGATTCATCCATATAGTCAATTGCTATATTCTGCTAAGTGTAATTTGTATTTGTATTGTGATTTCAGTGCATTGCTGTATCACTCTGCTAAATCACAATCCTGCGTAAGGTCAAATATCCTCAGATAAGTAAATCTGGTATTTAACACCCTCTACGTGTGGAATAACTGAAGAACCTGTTCATAGAGTATTGTACTCTGATAAAAATGTATCACAATTCCAGATTCATGCTTTTCCTATCCAAGGCCTGATCTTAAATCTACTGAAGCAAAGACCTCTGTTCATTAATGGCTTTCTTTTTAAATGCCAGTTCGTGCTTTTCAACAGTCTGCATTTCTGAAAAAACAGTTCTATTTTCCATCATGCCATAGTTGTACTCTCACTTTTCCTTTTAAAAAAAAAGCATACAATAATCCAGCAAGTGTCATATAATGCCTATGAAAATATTTTTCTATTTTTTCCCCTGAAATACTCTGTTTTAAGAACTTAAAATCTGCACAGGTGTTTAACAACTCTGCTGAGAAGATTCAGGATAGCCACACACACCAAAAAAATTAACCTAAGCATATTAACCTGATGGTGATATATTACAAATACACGCTGTGAAGTCTGTAAAGTCCTCTGTCTGCTTTTGTACAACTTGTGAGGAACATACGTACAGAAAATGTATAGTTGTTAAGTAAACTCTCTTTTCTAACTATGGCTATTACAAAATCAGTGCTGATAAACATCAATACATGAATGTAAGTTTGAACAATATGGTTGTAGTGAGATTAATTTATTGTTTTTAAATGCAGAGTATAAATCTTAGAAAACTGTATATAAAACTGGAGCACCACAAATGTACAAAACATCATCCTCATATTGCTTTTATGATCCTTGGTTGACAAATATTGAGGAAGCAATGGTGGCTTCCTCACACCTGTGTATTTAATTAGGGAAACAATTTCACTTTACTGAGTGTTTTAGGATATGACATTCTGGACAAGTAATTCATTGATAATCTCACTATATTTTGATGGGGTAGGAGGGTCGAAAATACTCTCACTAATCCTGCAGTTCTCCTCTGAAGTTACAGGATATTCCTGTACCACAAATGAAGAAATCTGTGCTCTTATTCACAGCATTGCTTTAACAAAACATTACAATGATACATCCTGCAAATCCATCTCTGTCTCAGCCTCAAAAACCATGAAGGGTTGCACAGTTAAACAAGTAGCACAGCAAAAGCTGTGACAGGCAGCAGGTTGCATTTGAATGATTGTTTCTGAACAAACATTTTCACTAAGTGTCCTGGTCACTGTAAAATTCATTATAGGCCTCCTGACACCCCTCAGTGAAGGCAAAGGAAATAAGGTCATCCTCAGTTTGTGCCAATAAGATTGCTTAAAGTAGTAGCCTGCATGCAGTGCACATGCTTCTGCGTGATTGCTGCATCACTGTAGCAGTCTTACATCTGGCAGCAACCTTCAATCCACATGCTTTACTTTTGCTGAGAGGTGAGTTAAGGAAAATATACAGATACAGAGCTAGCTTCCTATTGAGAGGGGCATACTAATACTGTAAACCAGCTACAATTCAACAGCATCAGGAAAGCTCTTCTGATCTTAAAGATCTTCTGAAACATGAGTCCTTTGCACGTATGAGTTCCGACTACTTCAGCCCAGGCTCCTACTTGAGTCTGTCTCCAAAATGTTTATCTGATGAAAAGACTTCATTGCTCCCTGAACTGCCATTTTGCAGTGAGGTTCCCTTGGTATAGGACAGGTTTAACTTTCACATCTCCAGACACAGTATGTCCAGCTTCATTTTTCTCTGTTGTTCCCTTGACATGGGCTAAACTTGTAAAAAAATTTAAAAAAAAAGCCAGAGTGACTGTTGAGGTTTTACCCCAGCCAGTAGCTGAGCACCACGCAGCCGCTCGCTCACTCTCCCCACATCAGGATGGGGGAGAGAATTGGAAGAGTTAAAGTGAGAAAACTTACGGGTTGAGATGAAGACAGTTTAATAGGTAAAGCAAAAGCTGTGTGCACAAGCAAAGCAAGACAAGGAATTCATTCACCGCTTCCCATGGGCAGGCAGGTGTTCAGCCATCTCCAGGAAAGCAGGGCTCCGTGACGCGTAACGGTTACTTGGGAAGACGAACACCATCACTCCAAATACTGCCGCCCACCCCTCTTCTAAACTGAGCATGACGTCATATGGTACAGAATATCCCTTTGGTCAGTTTGGGTCAGCTGCCCTGTCTGTGTCCCCTCCCAACTTCTTGTGCACCCCCAGGCATCCCGCTGGCAGGGCAGTGTGAGAAGTAGAAAAGGCCTTGGCTCTGTGTAAGCACTGCTCAACAACAACAAAAACATCTCTATATTATCAACACTGTTTCCAGCACAAATCCAAAACATAGCCCCGTACTAGCTACTATGAAGAAAATTAACTCTCTCTCAGCTGAAACCAGGACAGTGACAAAAAGCTAAACATGGCTACATTTAAACACAGATCTTCAAAACTCATTTCATGAACACAGATTTATAATACCTTTGTCTCAAGTCTTCCATATAAAAGCAAGACATTGAGAGGAAAAATGAACTCTGAGTATGCTCAGGGTATTCCTACAAGATGCTTTCAATAGATTGCAGACTGTAGCTGTTTGGCAGGAATCTCTTGACAGCCAAATCCCTTCCAGTCCACTTAAGTCTTATTGTCAAGGTGAGGAGGCATTGGCAGAACTGCATGGCATGAGCTATTTGCAGCACAGTTATGTCGGGTAACTAAATGTGTCCATTGAGGAAGGTTATTGACCAATACTAATATACATTTTCAAAAATAACATACAAAAGGAACTAGTATAGAAAAGGAGAGCAAACCACAAGTTTTAGAAGTTGCTCTCTTATCTAGATAAAAACATTCAAATCTTTCGGATGTGGATGTTTCTCCTTCAATACTGGTGAATTTCTTTCACTGCAGTAAACAAAAACCTCCTGTTTCACTGACATAAATTGCAAAAGCCTTTCAGGCTGTTCTCTCCAGGAACTACAGAGTTTATGAATACCTTTGTTTCTGTTGCACTTATTTCAAGACTTTTGAAGTTGCCCCACCTCAGGTAGAAGTTTAAATCTGCTGTACTACTTCCTCTAGTTCAAGATGAGGTTTAAATTTAGAGTACCAATTACTATGGCTGGTTGTTAATTAATACCTCCACATATTGCTGCAAAAGATGCAGGAGATACTGCTTAGGATACACCACTGTTTACAAATGGTGCGTGAGTTCCTTGTACTAAATAATGCATTCAGTTCAATTTAAGTCTTCCTGTTCACGAGCAGATTCAAGTGGTTCTATGTTCAGAATTCAAAATTATTTGTGGAGTGCAGTCAAAGATAATTCTTTATCAGTCCATGAGCAGTTGCTGTGGGTATTTAAATCCAAATTGTTTCAGATGGGTTCATATATCATATGGCATACTGTTATCGACTAATGGGATTGCCTCTCTCCTATCTATAACACTGAAACATGCATATTGAATTACAGCTGGAATCAGATTTCCCAATGCAAATAGTTACATTTACAAATACCAAACTTGCCTGTTATGAGTAGTCTGTAACATAGCCTCTGGAGTCACTATTTCCAAGTTTCCCAGCATTAAGTTTTTC